TCCAGGCAGCCTCCTAGCATTCTTTCAATTTGTTTGCATTTTAGTAATATGTGGGTTTTGAAACAAATATCGTTCTTTAAAAAAGTATAATATGGAGCAAGCAGTAAGCACTGTTGACATTTCCAGCTGCACTGATTGATAAGTCAGTGTGATGGCAAGATACCATGTGGAGCTGTGTAGCCCTCAGGGCTCCCTGTTCAAGTCACAGAACCATATGGGGGCTCAGCATTTACAGAGCTCCAGAAGATGAGTGGGAAAAAAAACTCACAGTGAAGTAAGTGTATTCAGTTAATGCTGTGTTTCTTCAACATGGATATCTAGTTGCCTTGTGAAGTATCAGCTGACTGGAAATATTGATCATCTTTTCTTACTGCAGTAATAAAATACTGAGTAAAATAAATAAATACATTTGAGGAATTGGTCTGGGTTAAGCTGGATTTCACTAGATAACAGAAGTGAGCCTAAGAATATTACAGCAGAAGAGAAATTACCAGGATTTTTTTGCATATTCTTGTGATGTTCTGGAGCACCATTTGCTCTTGCAAGACCTAAGCTGCTTCCATTATGTAGGCTAATTTAGGTGCCATCGTGTGTGTCACTGCACTACCAAGTGTAGGCATTCCCCATATAGCTGCTCCTCAAAGTCCTGCGTCCTTTCTTTCTAATTCAAGTACTTCTGGTTGGACAGTATGCCACATTCAGAACATGAAATAGGCTTAATACTACCACAGATGTACAATGTAAAAGTACCTTGTTCCTTTATGAGATTGTCCAGGTGGACACTTACACTTCAGATGATTGTATGCCACAAGCCATGAGAAAAGACAGTTTAACTTCATAAATGCACGTGAAGGAAATTTGCAGTCTTCATTTTTACCCCTGAGAATTCCAACTTTAGTCATACGTTACTTTTCTGTCACCCTTCCTTTGCCTTTTCCCTGTCTTGCTGTGTGTCCAGTCCTTGGGTTTGCCCAGGCTCCCTTTAGCTCAGTCAAACCATGTAGATTCCATCTTCTTTTTACTTCTGAAGGTTGTCTGTGCACAGGTCTGTCTTGCAGTGTTGTCCCTATTACTTTTCTTAAGGCAGGATTGTGTTTGTACTGCAGTTGTGATACAGTTTCAATCTTTGGACACACAGTCCATGAGTATACTGCCTCAATGAAATTCACCTATTAGATGTGTGCCAAATCTGTAGTTCCCCAGTGCTCAAGAGCAGAGGAATGACTTTTCCATCTGCAGAAGTTCCATCTGGAAAAAAACAACAGACTCTGTGTCTGACATGGATGCTGAAGAAGTGTATGTGTAGGAGAGTGTGTATTCCAGGCACACTTACAATTCAAATGACAGTCAAGCCTCAGTTCTGCTGTAGAGAGAGGGGTTCTTAAAACTCTGGAGCTCAGATAGATGGCACATACGTTTGGCAGAGCTACTTAAGGATGTGAGGATGACTATAACAGGTCAGATGAGGGGTCCATTTTGCCCAGTATTTTGTGTCTGACGTGGCCATGGGTGGTTATCTAGCGAACACGAAGAACAGAATAAGTAAATATACTTCCCTACTGTCTTCAGATTTGATATCCTGAGCAGGATGTGCTTTATGTCTGTTTTGGAAATTTTCAAGGGATTTCTCATTCAAATTCTTGCTCAGTCTCCTAGTTTGAACACAGGCATTTTTTGCATCAACAGCATCATCTGTGCTCTACAGACCTGCTAATTTTTTCTTTGAACAAACATGTTCTTTTGTTTGACTTGAACTTGGTTCCTATAGCATCATTTATGCCTTATAGTTCTTGCATTGGACGAACTAGGATTTGAAATGCTGGTATCCGTGAACTGAACCCAGTTTGTAAAGCCCTGAGAAGCTCAGTGATGCAGGGCTTTCATTTTCATAGTGTGTGCTGGAAGAAGGGTTGTGGGATTGCAGAGCCAACAGCTGAGCAATTATCTGTGATCTCACACCCATTCATTTCAACACTGAACAGAGAGCAAGTACACCTGTCTATCTAGAGTGGCTTCTGAGTATCTGGACAAATTTAGAGTTCTGGATCCTGCTCAGAAAGACACAAAAAGAATTACCCAATAAATTTCATAACTGTTCTTTAGGAATTCCACATTCCTATGCATTAACAGTCATTATTTTTCTGGTATTGGTGTGAGTTATTACCTCTTTGTGCTGTATCCCATAATAACTTCTGTAAGAATAATTGCTGAAGATGAATTCTTATCCACCTATGAAAGTGTAAATGTAGCCTTTCCAAAACAGATCTGCTTGCTGATTTGAGAGCTGGAAGGATAAGGACCTTATCATGGTCTGGTTTCTTCTGAAGATGACAGTAAAGGCAAAAAGTATGTATTGTCAGCATGAAAAAGTGCAAAATAACTACAAAGCATGATGTATTTTGTGGCATAAATGATCTTATAACAGTTGTTGGTTTTATTGCCCTCAAGTGTAATTTGAGTAGTTTTTCTCAGTAAGATTGTTTTTGTTATGTAACTGAACTCATAGAAGAATTAATTTCGTTTCTTTTGTGTGTGTGTTTGTGTTTAAGCTATGGAAGAACTGGATGGTGATGTGGTGAGGATTTCTTCAAGAGGAAAGTTTGCAGAAAGAGACATTGTGCAGGTGGGAGAGAAAATTAATAATTAGGTTTTACTGATTCTGTTTGGTGTGAATTCTTGTTTCTAGCAATAGTCTTGCCTTTCGTTTTATCTTAGAGCTGACATACTTTATTTTGGGATGTTGATAATGCGCTCAGAAACTGTCCGTGACACCTGTAGGCCTTTATATAACATAGTATTGGAGCTGCATTCATTAGGAAATTATCCCTAACTGGTAGTAGTACACTGATAGGGAAGTTCTATGCGTTACACAGCCATGGGATAAGAGTTAGTTCCCTCTGTACTGCAACCTTGCTATGATTCCATGAAGAAAAACTGCAACTTTTGTGGAAGTGGGCCACACACAGACTTCGAAGAAGTGCATTTGAGATAGCTTTTCCTGCCAGTCCAGAAGACCATAAGTAAGTGTCTGTCAGTTCCTTTGTTGTGTCTGCCACATGCGACCATGCACATGTCCCGTGGTTTAAGAAACCTCAGGTGATAGCTGGCACAGTTTGCCCAGAGGGGTGGTTGGTGCCCCATCCCTGGAAACATTCAAGGTCAGGTTGGACAGGCTTTCACAGTCTAGGAGGTTCCTCCAGTGCATTGAGGACAACTTCTTAATGCAAATGGTGGACAAGCCAACTAGAAGAGGAGCACTGCTAGATCTTGTGCTCACTAACAAGAGGGGCCTTGTTGAAGCAGTGGTGGTCAATGGGAGCCTTGGCTGCAGTGATCACGAGATGGTGGAGTTCAGGATCCTGTGTGGAAGGAACAGAGTACTCAGCAGGACCAGAACCCTGGACTTCCACAGGGCAAACTTTGGCCTCCTCAATCAACTGTTGAACATTGCAATGTATATATTTGTTTTATGTCTGCATGAGCTGAAACTTCAACATGTTTGATGATGCAAACTTTGGTATCTATGTTTAAGGTTCTTAATCCAATTTTTTTCTTTAGAATACAAAATAAACAAATCTACATAATTATATGGAAATTAAAATTATCAGATCTTCTTTTAAAGCTTGTCAGTGCAATAAATAACACCACCCAGTGCTCCAGGGCTGGGGAAGAGTGGCTGGAAAGCTGCCTGGAAGAAAAGAACCTGGGGATGTTGTTTGATATCCAGCTGAATATGAGCCAGCAGTGTGCCCAGGTGGCCAAGAAGGCCAACAGCATTCTGACTGGCATCAGAAACTGTGACAAGCAGGACTAGGGAGGTGATTGTGCCCCTATACACAGCACTGTTGAGGCTGCATCTTGAATACTGTGTTCAGTTTTGGACCCTTCACTTCAAGAAGGACATTGAGGTCCTGGAGCATGTCCAAAGAAGGGCAACAAAGGCGGTGAAACGTCTAGAGCACAAGTCTTATGAGGAGTGGCTGAGGGAACCAAGGTTATTTAGCCTGGAAAAAAAGGAAGCTCAGGGAAGACCTTATCACTTTTTACAACTACCTGAAAAGAAGTTGTAGCGAGGTGGGTGTTGCTCTGTTCTCCCAAGTAGCAAGACATAGGACAAGAGGAAACAGCCTCAAGTGGCACCAGGGAAGCTTTAGATTGGACACGAGGAAAAGTGTCTTCACTGCAAGAGTTATCAAGCACTGGAGCAGTCTCCCCAGGCATGTGCTGGAGTCACCATCCCTGGAGGAATGTAAGAGTTATGTAGATGTGGCACTGGGGGACATGGTTTAGTGGTGGACTTGGCAGTGCTGATTAATGTTGGACTTGATCTTTGAGGTCTTTTCTGAATGATTCTATAAATGTTACATTAAAATTCCCTCTCTATTTTTTTCCTAAATGGGAACCAGAAATGAGAATAAGATGACAGCAATTAAATTACCCTCATCATCTGTATGGATATACATTAAAGAAAGTCATAGACTCTTGAATTAGTTATTCAAGTAGTTGAAAAAGAGACTTTTTTCATTTCTGCAACACACAGAGAAAACAGCTCATGGGAGAGTGACATATAAAAACCATTAGAAGAGTAAGACAAGCTGCCTGCTTTAGTCAGTGTTGTCAAGAAGGTGATTATAAAAGTGGGGATGAGGAGAAGCTGGACAGCTGAACAGGAGGCAGGGAATAATGTTTCTCATTTTGTCAAAGCCTTTCTGATGTTCCTTGGTAGCCCATGCTGGGCTGGAGGGGGGCTGTCTGTAACCTGCTATGCTGTGTGTGTCAGTGCTGTTGAGCACAGCAGTGTGTGGAGTTCTGCCTCCAGAGCTGCAGGTGTTTCTGGACCCCAGAGGAGTATTTCTGCAGAGCCCTGTGCCACCTCACGTTTCTTTAAAGTGAATTCAGGTATCTCTGGCATGCATTGCACTTTGGTCTAAATGCATTTAAATAAGCACAATATATTATACGTAATTTCTCCAAGCAAGAGCAGCTCCAGAAGTTGCTGTTTTCACATTCAAAGAGCATAAATGGATATTCTTCTTAAATGTTATAAACAAAATCTGTGAAAGTGCTTTGCATCAGAACTATTCTAATGTTTGCTAAGAAATAAAAAATTATATGCAATGAACACCCTTTTGTATTTCTTTAGAATTCGTTGCATGTCAGAAATGTAATAAAACATTTATTTACTATTAATGTATTTCAATCAGAGCTTTGCCCCAAGCCATACTGAATTACCTGAAGGCAGTATTATTTTATGCTTTTTTTTCTATATAAATACAAACAAATACATAGCAGACTAGCTACATAAATAAAAAGGGATAATGTCAAACCCTTTAGGTTTGGTATGACCTTTATTTTACGTCTGGCAGGATAAAACTAATTTGCTTTTATACAATTAACTACTCACTACTCAAACATAAAAAGTTTTATCTTTTTAGTGTCTTAGTTAAAATTACTTAGTGAAATTAACTGTTAATTTTAGCAGTCAGTATTGTGAAATACTTTAATTAAATTAGTAAAGGAAAAATTTGGCTGCTAACAGTGAGTCACTGTATCTATTACATTTTCTACTGCCTGCAGTTCATGTAAAGACATGACCTTCATGATTCCCTCCTTGCTGGCATACATATGGATTGTGGGGACTCCGTATTGCATACATACCAATTCTTCTACAGTTTATTTAATTTCTGCTCCTTTTTATCCTTTTTCTACTTCAGGAGTTGTAGGAAAATGCTTGTAGTAATGTACCCCTTGTTTCTCTTGAAAATATTCTATATTAGCCTTTTAAATTAAATAGAAAAGGTGCCTTACATTCCATCAGTTTCCCTTTGGTTTCTCTTAACATCTTTCATTCTGTTCCTCTGCCACTTGTGCTACTTCTGTATCTTAGCTCTAGGCTCACTTTGCCAGCTGTCCTTGTATATCTGTATGTCTGCTTATCTGTCCATAGTTTCTCCAGCTCCTCAGACATCTATATATACCATAAGGAGAGGGGAGGGAGACTTAATTCAGGCTATCTATATTGCATAATTGCATTTCAACAATTACACCGTTGAAATAGCCTCCTTTTGCTGCAGAACAGTGGTCCTGAGTTTTCATGGGTAAGGAGATATCTTGGGATGGGACACATCATGTTCCTTAACTCAGACTGTATGTGCTTTTCACATAAGGCTGACATTGCATTAGGAAATGAAAACCAAGCTCATCCCTTCCCAGCTAAATGTGTAAACCAGCAGGCTACAGAGATGCTTGTTTTGTTTTGTTATTCTTCCAGCTTTGTGCTCCTGGGGACAGTCAGGAAAAGTTGATGGATTTTAAGAAGGAACAACCACTTGAAACAGGGCAGTTCTGGGCTGACTTCTGAAAACTGCTAGAGATTTTTTTATGAAATGCAGGAGCCAGTACTAGTAAATGTCAGCACAGTATGTGCTTGCCTTTTGTATGGAAAAGTTACAGACAGCTAATTATGGAACTGCAGATACCTTGCTTCCTGGCTTAATATCCTAAAATCAGGTTCCTTTTGCCTGTGGTTCTCGTGCCCTTGTGCCTGATACCTTCTTGGACATACACAATGAGGAGGTAAAGGATGCCTCTACCTGGAATCAAGGCTACTCTCCTTGAACAGTCTTGCTGTCTACTCTTGTAGTCTGGTTGACTACGTCAGCCTGTGCTGGCTGGCTCTGCTTGGGCAGTAAGGTTGGGCTAGAGGATCTGTACAGGTCACTTCTAGCTTCAACAGTTCTGTGACTAAGTCATCATCTTCTAAGATACTTCAGGTGTACAGCTTCCTGGGGAATTGCCCCAATCAGTAGCTGTTTATGCTTAATTTGGTGACAGGTTTCAGTTTAATTCAACATAGTTCAAATACATAGGCTTGAAGCATTTTTTTCTGGCAATTTAGGATCCTCTTGAAAAGAGTTATGCAAAGAGTCATGTCTTACTTGGATTCTAAACACCTTTTAGAAGGAGACTGATGCCTAGATAGGTTTTGTAAGTCCAGAGTGAGAAGAGCTTTCCAAAGTTGTTGTAAAAATTATTTAATTAAACTCACGTTTGTCATTACTGAAATGGCTTTGATTTTGGTTGGCTTGTTGCTTTTGTTTTCCTGAGAGTTCTTTTATTGTTTTGAAGTATTTAGTATATTTCTTTTTTTTTTTTTTATTTCTGTCTTTTCTGGAAGACTCTCAGGACCTTACAAATACAGCATAGGCTAAATTCTCACTGTAATTCAGTGTTCCCCTGAATCTTGAAAACGTCAATGCCTTTTATAAAAATGGAATTTAATCTATAGCCTGAGTTGCTGTGCAGCCAAGTAAACAAAATTTGTCTGGTTGATGTAATAGGCAAAAGAGTCTTCAGATGTTAGAGTTCAGCCAGGAGATGAGATCTCTGTGGGTTCTCAATCAGATCTAGTTTTATCTTGGAGTTAGAACAGGTAACAGTTAAATCTCCCCTGGTTTTTTTGGTTTGTTTTTGGTTTGGGTTTTTTTTTGGGGGGGGGTGGGAGGTATCCTTAGGCTTTCAATTCCAACATAGCATAGCCTAGAGTATCAGTACCAGAAGTAGTCTGGGGCATTGAATCTCAGCTTTGAAAAGTCAGCCAGCTGTTGCCTTTAGATAGGCTCCAAAATCTGAGCAAGCAGTAGAATTTCAGATCAGGCCTCCCTTTGGCAGAAGCGGGTGGCCAGCTTAGCCCCCTGCCGCTCCGCCGGGGCGCCGCTGGGGGTGAAAACCAAGGAGCCGAGAGATGCTTTTTTCCATACCAGTAGCACAAGCATCTCATTAATTAGGAAATCCAAGCCAGAGCTGGGTAGCTGACGTTCCAGGTGTTGAAGATCTTAGTATCACATAACAAATTCCTTTTTGAATCCAATCCTTTTTGCTTAGATTTTTTATTCATTTGTTAGTATAATATAGCAAGTGTTCAGGCGGTTCATAGTTGTACCAGGTATAATGCAAAATGACCAAGAATACAAAGTTATCCTTTCTGTTTCATTGACTTTGGATAGCAAAAATTCTACTCATGAACTTGCCAGGGCAGAGACAGTCTGGTCGGAGAACCCCATGAGCAGGAAATTCTGAGACAGAATTACCTTCTTGTATGAGAAGGATTGAGAGATGAAAGAGATGAACCAAATATATCAGTGAAACAGGTCATTAGCAGTCTGAGCTAGCCATGACTTCTGCAAAGAACTTCACCCAACTGCAAGCATGATACTGTATTAGAAGACAGATTTTAAAAGTTGACATACAACGTGTATACATAAAATATATACTATAAAATACAAAATGTGTATATGCATATATAAAATATGGAAGATAATGTAATTGTGTACTCTATCTCCCTGGGCAAAACTTTCTTATTTTATGTTGTAAGATGTATTCTTTGTCTGCATAACGACTTGTGTGAACGTTTCTTCTGTTTTGCAGTTTGTGCCATTCCGAGACTACATTGACAGAAGTGGAAACCACGTGTTAAGCATGGCAAGACTTGCTAAAGATGTTTTAGCTGAGATCCCAGAGCAGTTCCTCTCCTACATGAGAGTCAGAGGAATAAAGCCATCACCTGCACCGCCACCCTATACGCCCCCGGTTCATGTGTTGCAGACTCAGATATGACTGTTCCAAAGTGCTCAGCATTTATCACAAGTCAAGAGTCTCTGGATGCAGCAGTAGCTTCTGATAACGTTTTGGAGCTAGAAACATTCTCTTCACATACCAAAATTGGTTGCATGAGCAACTGGAAAGCTTTTAAATGCTAAGAGCAAAATGTTGATGTTTTCTCTTTTTTTTTTGACAGAAAACACTAATTTTTTGATGTATTTATTGGAGGGGAAAGCACAAGTCAGGATTTCAACTCAGAAGATATTGTCCTTTCTGAATACTGTGTGTATATAAATGTATAGGAATGCTATTACTCTGTATCAATGTTTACATGTTACTATTTTTAAATTTCAGTACTTTTATAACTATATTCTTAAGAATAAAAGTTTGGAATATTGACTCACATGTCTTCTAGCTTGCAATAGTTTGTCACAAGATAACAAGAGTAGCAATATCTCTTTGAATGTTTGTCCAGACAAATAGAAATGAAGGCTAAGAAAAGGATAAATTTATATGTATTTTCCAGTACCTTAATTGCTTCAATCAGTGCTCAGTAATCCGTTCATCTCATATCTTGAGAACAAACTCCTAAAATGTGAATAACATAATTGCCTATGACTTATGACTGACTCCAAACTTTGAGGGGGAGGACTGCGTATTTTTTCAGAGACTCTCCAATTTCCAGGTTTATCTAAGTTTACAATTTTTAAAACTAGTTACTGCAAATTAGAAGAGTTACTTGCTCTAAGTAATTAAAGAAAATTACCTCAAATCAGAACTATCAGACTATTATAGTTGACTCACTGAGCTCATTAAATCTTATCACGCACTCCTTAAAGCATTGGAAATGTTGCATCAGAAAAGTCTTTCGGAGTGATTACAGCAGATGTTTTATAATGGACCATTTTAAACTTAATGTAAAAATTTAACTTTTTGTCTAGATTGCCCATTCAAAGGGATGCTGGCTCTTAATATTTGGGTTTAATATTGTCATTTAATCACGTTTCCATCCAGGGTGCATGAATGATAATGTTAATTAACTGGTTTTAAAATTGCACAACCATGTTGCTTTGTGCACAGTTTTGTGTACAGAACAACCCAAAAATTTTATTATATGCCTGTTCATATATAATTATAAGATGGTTTTTGCATGTACAGTTTTTACAGGATACACGGTTTTGTGCATTTGTGTCAGATACATTTTATTTAGAACTAATGGCCTTAAATTTCACAAAACTCCTGAAATGATTGTGAATTGCCTTCAAATACTGTTAAAATTGAATATTTTAAATTTTTTGTGTCACAGTTGTAACTGTCTTGTAATGTAACTTTTTTTCTTTGCAAAAAACCTGTTTACTACTTCTGTTTCTTACTACTGTATGTTGTAATGTACAGTATAAAATTACGGTGCATTTTTTAAGCATGAGAAGTTTTTTGCCAGAAAGCATATCTTCAATGTTAATGGCATATAACTATGTAAATGCAGAATCTTCCATTTTTAAATGTATTTAACTTCCTTTAACTATCTCATGTGAGAAATTACTTTTTCCAGATAATTATGCTGTTAGTAAAAAAAAAAAGGTTTTTTTGTAAAAATAAATATTGTTTTATTTTTATTTCAAAACAGTTTTTACATAAATATTGGCTTTAATTTTCTCACCAAAATATGTATTTCTTAGTGGATTGATGTTGCATGAATGAAATTTGATACCTGGCAACTACAAATTTTGATGAAAGCGCATCATAAAGAATAAGTTTAAATCTACTCGGTGGTGGTGTTCTTTTATCTTCTGTCTTCCTTTTTTTTAATACTTGCGGTGTTGGCACTTTAGAAATAAACAAATTATTATTATATTTGTTTAATTTGGTTAGACAAATCTTTATGCTGACGTTTGTGTTGGTTCCCAGTGGCTGGCCCACGTATTTAGCACGTTTTCATTCCAAGGCCAAAACTACAAACTTCTTTTATTCAGTTTAGAATAATTTATTAGCTCTCAGTTAACCTGCACCTTTTATTAATCCAAAGATCAGTCTCAAAACTAATTTAACAACTCATTTAACAAGGGAAGGAACTTTTAAAGAGAGGTATTACTTAATCAAAAGTATTTTTTATTTAATGGAAGAAATAGATGTGACCTATGGACTAAGTATTCTAGTGGGAAAAAGAGACTTTTTCCAGACTTGAGGCATTCCCTTTATATTTGCCAACTAATTGGCTACACATTGTCTAATGTGTACAAGAATCGTTGTGTAGTACTACTACACAATGTGTGTACTACTCAAGGAGTAGCCTCAATCATTCCAGTATTAGAGTTGAGAGTTCATGTTGAGAACTTGAATTTCCCCAAGGTATCATATGCAGACATTTTTAATTCTGTCTTTATTCTTCAGAATAATGAAACACAACACTCGTATTCCTTCCCAAGAAGTGCTAGCTACTACCAAAACTTGATAATTTTCTGATTGAAGAGCAGCAGAGAGTATTTATATTTAAGAAAAGTAAAATGTGACCTATTATGTGACAAGTGATTTGCCCTGAAAGAGAAACTGTTGGCCTTGCTGGAAGCTCTCTTCCTTTCATATACATCTGGGGACTGTTTTTTTTTCTTCTAAGACATGCCGAAAATGCTATGGCAGGGTGCAAACTGCACAAATGTTCCTACAAATGAGGAAGGGCACTGTCTTCTGGAGGGTGCAGTTTGAGAGGGTCTAATTTAGGTTTGATTTGGACTAGTGAGGAATTGTTTGCTAAGCTCAAAGAAGAAACTCTTTTGATCTTAGTTATGAAATAGAATGTTGTGATTTTAGGCAAAGATGGCATCGTGGTTTAAGCCCACTCAGCTGTCAAGAAATCACCACACAGCTTCTCGCTTGCTCTTACCCCCCTCCAGTGGGATAGGGAGAAGAAAATGAAACAAAAGGCTCGAGGGTCGAGACAAAGGACAGGGAGGGCACAATCACCAGTTGTGGTCACAGGCAAAAGACAGATCCAGCTTGGGGAAACAAAATCAATTTAATTTAAACAACAAAACCACCAGCAGTTTACCCACTGAATCAGAGCAGGACAGTGATAAATACAACTGGATCTTAATAAAACCCTTAGAACACCCTTCCTTTCCTCTCTGGCCCGGCTCAGCTACCTCCTCCCCGCCAGGGGCACAGGGAATGTGGCTGTGGTCAGTCCCTGTCTATTCCATGTTGTTTCTGCTACGCCTTCCTCCTCAGGTGGCAAACCCCTCACAGTCTTCCCTTATGGCAATGTGGTGTCCCTCCCATGGCAGACAGTCTCCCATGAACTTTTCCCACTAGCACGGGTCCCTTCCATGGGCAAGTCTTCCCAGTGATGGGCTGCTCCAGGGTAGGCTTCCCTCTGTCACAGCCTCCTTGGGACCAGTCCCCTGCTCCAGCCTGGGGTCCTCCATGGGCTGCAGATGGGATTCTGCCCCACCATTGATCTCCCAGGGCTGCAAGGGCTCAGCTTGCCACCTCACCACAGGCTGAACTGGAATGGCTGCTCCAGCACGCCTCGCCCAGCTCTTTCCTCACTGGACTCACTGCCTGCACGGTTGTCTCTGTCATGTCCCACTCGTTCCCAAACTGAAGAAATCCCAAGACAAATGAACCCACACAACTTGGTTTTCCCCTCTTCAATGTTTTGTTACAGAGGCACTGATAGGCTCAGCCCTGGCTAGAGGTGGATCAAGCTTGGAGCTGGGGGTGTTTCTGAAAGCTTCTTACAGGAGGCACGAGAGTACCTTCCCTCACTACCAAAATCCCAGCAGATAACAACCCAACACAGATGGCAATCTATACAAGAGAATTTATGTGGACTTCAAATCAGCTCACTTCTGTACACAAAAAGGTTTGTTAAGTGCAGTCCCTCAGCGAGGTATCTGAAGGAGAGGAACAGAGCTCAGGAGCTGAGGTATTATCTGGAAAAAAAAAAAAAAAAACCACATTTTGAAAAACTGAAATTTCTCCACCTTGGTAGGGACGGATTAAATTTGCTCCAAAATACTTTACAAAATAGCTGAAAGAATCAGAATGATAAATTAGTATCATCTTCAAGAACTAATAAAAGGATGAATTATGCCAATGCAGTGGGAAACCAGGGAGCATAGGAAGAGGCTATTATGACTTTATCAGAAATTCTTTCAACAGAAAAATCAACAAGAACAGAAAGGCAGAATATGTCACTATGCGTAAATGTAAAAGGTAGAACAGATAATGTGTGAAAATGGACAGAAAAACACCAAATAAAGCATGACTTCGCTGCTAAAGCCTGGTAAATCCACACCAGAAAGGGAAGGAAATTTGAAACCATTATTTAACCGAAAAATGAGCAAATAGTAAATCTAGGGAAAACTGAAATGCTTGATGTGGCAGAGGGTTAATCATTGAATAAAACAGTCAATTAAAAATAAATCTAAACCTAGTTTTACATCTGCCAATAAAAATTTGTTAACAATACACACTTTTGAAACAATTTTCTTGAACAGCAATATAATGAGCTTCAAGATAAAAGAGAGAAACAGCTGCTTTAACATGACATTTTAAAAGCAAAGCAGGAGATAATGGCCTCATTTGAGAGGTTATAAAATACGACAAAGCTGGTTAGACTACTCAGAAAAATGCTATCAGTCTTTCATTGTCAAGCTGGAAAAATACAGAAATTGATGTTCCACGGGGACCTGTCTTGCTTTTGGTATTATTCAGTTATTTCCATTGATGATGAAATATATAAAAGACAGTTATTAAATCAGAATCTTATATCAACTGCAGATAATTTAGTCGCTTCCAAAGACGGGATTAAAACTTGAAATTATTTTTATGAATTAGGAAAAAAAAAACCTGAAATAGGAGCAAATTCGATCAGGGCAAATAGGTAAGTGTAGTTAAGTAACAAAAAAACCTACTACACAATTTCAGTGGTTCTGGCTGTGCAGCAAGTCTGCGAAACACTGTCTGAGGCTATAGTGGATCACAGAATAGACACTGAGGGGGAGGCAGCTAAGGAGAAGTTTTGAATAGAGCCCACCCTTTCATTGTTCTCAAAATAGTAAGGCCTTAGCATTATAGTGTATCAGGTCCAGTTTTGAGACTTCAAATAACATGTGGGTCAACTGGAAAAGTCACAGAAGACTGAGTCACAGGTCACTGAGGACTGCTGGAACCATCTGGACAAATGATCAGGGAGTGTTTCTGTAGGGTTGGCCTCCC